GGCTCCTATCCGATTTTGGATCTGCTTACAAGACTCCGAACGAAGCTTTATTTCCCATTACAACATAATGAACATAGTGCGTATCGTCTGATTGGTCAGTTAATTTTCCAAGCGGATGCTTTGTCAGGTTTAAGAACCCGCATGTAACTAGTCATGTTATAGAAGCAATAGAACGCATTTTTCCGGGCTCTAGTCCGGAAAACATCCCAAGTGACAAAGCCACTTGGGATGTTGGGAGAACACGTGGAAAGCCGATAAATCACAAGCCTTCAGCAAGTGATTTATAAGCTTTCTTCGCGTTCTCCAAACATCCCGCGTGGCTCTATCGCGTTATAGAGCCTAGAAAAAAGTTTTCTATCGCTTAAACAAGAACAACAGCTAGGTTACACAATCTACTGAACATACTGTACAACTTTAAGGTGAAATATACATAACGATGTCTTTTAAAATTGAGCAGAATCTAGAAGCATATTAAGTAACATTACTTACACATCTCCTACTTTTTCTAGCGCTTTTCTTATCTGTAATGAGATGTACGATAAATCTCCGGAGTCAAGTCGTACCCCTATGGCTCGGTAGCCAAAATCGTTGAGAGCTAACGCCACCGCAGAGAATCCTGGGATTCCACTCCTAGTAAAATAAAAACGTCAACATCATAACTCAGGTAAAAGCATTAATTGCAACTAATTCTAAATTATTTAAAACAATAATTGTTATTAACAGTAATTAATATAATAATAATAATAATAATAATAATAATAATAATATACGTTAATTGAAGCTCCCCCTTAGGGGCTTTTCAGTCACAATGTAGACTAACTAAGAGCCCATAATACACAGATTATCATAAAAACAATGAATAAATAGGCAGCTAAAAACAAGTGGGAACACAAAGGAAGAAATTGGGTGTTAGGAAGCAGATTAAACTAGCCTGACTCGTAAAAAAATGGTGTGACGTGCCGAGTTAAGCGTTCAGGGGAAAGTCTCCGAAACACATTCCTCTTTGAAAGACCTGCTCTTTTTTATCATTTTTAGCGGAATTGACATATTCTGAAACCTCGAAGAATAGCATTGTAAAAAAGGCCTACCTCACCTTCAGTTGACTAAATCCAAAAAAGTGGTTGAGTAGAAGTCAGATGTGGAAAGATCATGCAAGTAATTAATGAGTCAATGAATGTGTTCAAAAGTGTGAGATTTTAGGGCAGTTTGAAAGTTTCAAAATTGTATTTAATCTCTATGCAAGAAGCCAAAGTTTGCCATCAGAACTTTTTTTTACAAAGTCCTCCTACATTTTTCCATGTCTGGTACTTTTTTCTCTCCACAGCCACTTGGCATGATTGACAGGGGCATGATAAATATTAGTATTTGATCAACTGCACACCCACCCCCCTCCTAACCTGACAACACTTCACTGATAACAAGTTAGGGTTAATTTTGGGGCAAGGGTGGGGTGGGAGAGCAGTTGCTCAGACACTGAAATTAATCTACATGCACATTCTTGTCTTTCTTTACCTTAGAACATCATAGGTATCAACAAGTGCTAGAAATGTCTCTGGGAAGGCCACAGCATATGCTGAAAATGCAGCAAGTTCACCAACATGAACCTCACTTTCCAGAACACGCAGCACAGGGCAGACTTTCTTCAGCCAATCTAACACTACAGGATAAAAGTCTCTTGGTTCCTTACTCTTGTCTGTAGGCTGCAGTGTGCCGACCGATGGAAGCTCATCTGGTGTGAATGACGTGATGAAGGCATGTGCTTGGGTACCTTTGACTGGAATGCCATATAACTTTCCAGCTAAAACATTACTTGTACCATCAAACCCTAACAATGAAATTGAAATAATTTCAAAATCCAAGAAAGTGTGCAGTCAAAATTAATCTTTTTATACCAGTACAATTTACCCTTGACATGGATATCCCACTTCTGAGGATGGGAAAGCAAAACTAGATAACAATATCAAGAACAAAAACCACTGGTAACATTAATCACAGAGATAAGAGATTTTTTTTTCTGCCATTTTGAAAGTGACTTTATTCCAGGAATCTAGTACTCACCTCCGATATAACAATATTTAGATGCTGACAATCCTCCATCTGGGCCCTGAGATCTTCGTAACCCAAACTCAATTAAAGATTTATTCCATCCAGCTGCAAGGCGAAATCTAGCTGCATTTGTTGCTACTAAGCTAAAAGGAAAAACAGCAGGCAAGAGTTATTCCCTATTATCTGTGGTAATTGTTAATTTGGTTGAAAATTGACACATTAGTCATAAAACTAAATGTTTATCCTTGTTACAAATGAAAACTTTGCAAGCTTTTGACCTAACATTAATCCATAAGAAGCATTTTTACCAATAATTAATATGATTAAATGGCATAATTATGGCCAATAATTACACAATTACTTGGCACATAGAAGGAATAAGCCCTCTATAGAACTCCTGACAGCCATACAAAAGAGAGGCTGCCCCAACATGGGCTGGACATGGGGGCAACTTGACCAACTGGTAACAGACAGAAATCAATGGCATTCTCTGGCCAAGGCTTTATGTGCATAC